GTGGATGGGAAGTACTTCTAGTCCACTTCCAGGTCTGCTGCCAAGTGCATTGAGACCCCACCCCGTGCGCTCATGTGGGATGCTCCATCCACCCCACCATTGCAGCACTGATGAGCCACCTGCTACCTTGAGGTATGTAGAAAAAACATTTAAAGCTGTGTCTACGTCTGAATCTCCGATTCTCTCTGATTCAATTTGGAGGCATTAAAGGGTCTCCTGATTTGATTTGGATTCAGAGATTTGGCCACCAAATCGGGCCAAATCTCCACTGAATCGAATCAGGGACTGAAGCTTTGCATAGCCCTACTGATTACTGAACTGTAGCTTTAAGAAAAGCCCCAAATATTATTAGATCCCTATAGAGTTTCAAGAATCAATAACATACTAATAATATTACTTACTGGCTGGGCTGCTTATTTGAGCTCAAATGAGAATATCCGATTTGCTGCTAGGTAGAATCAAGATATAACACTGATGTTAAATCAGCATCAATATCTGTACACTATCTCTAGTGCTGCTTGTGTATAACCATGAATATTTACTGTATTTTATGGTGTATAAGTCAAGTTTTGAAGTCCAATTTTGGGGTCTTAAAAATCAAACTCAACTTATACATTATGCCACATCAAAAAATCAGGGACGGGGCTGGGCTTAGCTGAGCTCGGCACTCAACTGGCATGTCCTCATCTCCTGCTGGTAGCACATGCTAGCTGAGTGGCAAGCCCAGCCCCGTTTGCAGGGGATGGGGGACAGAGCTGGGGTTGCCTGGGCTCAGCACTCAGCTGGTGTACAATGCCAGCAGGGGATGAGGCTGGGCTCAGTGCTTGGCTGTCATGGCCTCATCCCCTGTGAGTGTCACTGGCCTCCGTGTTCAGAAGCACCACTTGCAGCAGCCCCATCCCCTGCCAGCTCAGCACTCGGCTGGCACGGCCCTGACTTATAGACCATGCCTATGTAAATCTTTACCTTTCAGATTGGAAGCCAGAGGTTGACCTATATACCATGTCAACCTATACACTGTGAAATATGGTACCTAGGTCTGCTTCAGCCCACCTGCTTGGTATTCTCTTTGTGCACCTTCAAAATGGTGGAATTTTAACTATACTTTCTTCTCACATTAGTTCCCCTCCCCTGGCTTTTGCAAGTGTAGGTAGCAGGTTGTTAGTATAGCAGGACTGGCAATGCTATGTCTATATCACATTTCTAAGCAAGTGATATCAGAAGCCAGACCAGACTTCAAATAATCAACCTTCACAAATTTTGCTTGTGTGTGTGCGGGCCGGGCACAAGCCGGGCCCTTTTTCGTGCTGCACACGGGCTGTGGCCAGCAGCCCGGGCACACGGGGTCGGAGAGAGAGTCACGACAAGCTAGAATTAGGCACAGACTTGTAGCGGTAGTTTTAAAGATTGTTTACTTACACCGAAGATGGTCGCGGTGCAGGCAGGAAAACTTGCTTGAGTTACAGTTGCAGATAGAAAAGATAAGAGGTGGACTAGAGTTCCGTCCCGTGAACACTCTTCTAGCCCGTCCGGTTGGAGGCTCTAAACCGCGAGCCCATCGTGCCAACCGAAGAAAGTGCTCGTCCGAAAGAGCTCTGAATAGACTCACACGAAGTTTGCTAGGCTCCGTGGAACTTCTGCTCTGAGGTAGTCCGGTCGTCTGAACAACTATGTCAGTTGTTCCAGCTGGACTCACACGAAAGTTGCTAGGCCCCTGTAAGGATCTGCAGCACTTAGCGATCTTCACACAGCATGAAGTCTCCTCCTCCTGGTGTTCATGGAGTCCTCCAACTTGGGCAGAAACCACTCAAGCCTTTTATACGGCTAGCAAGCCAATCACTAGCCGCCACGTGTGAATAATTTAGAACTGGCCAATAATGGGACTCGAATTAGCATACAAATGGCGGGAACTCTTTGCAACAAGCATTTCTGTGCTGCAACAAAGAAATGCACCCTGCAAAGAAAGCTTCAAATTGGCGGGAAATTCTCCCTTGCACCGGGGTTCTCTTTTGCAGCAGAAAACTCCACCGTGCAAGGAAGCTGCAATTTAGCGGGAACAATTTAGCAGTGCCGAAGCACACAAAAACAAAAATCACACCCTTTGGGTTGTGACAGTGAGCAAAGATGGATCTTGAATGTTTTAAGGAAAAAGTCAACTAGGAGATGTCATTGTTAATCCTGAACTGTTTGACTTTATGATGTAGACAATAGCTGAGTTAAATGCATTTATGATGCATATGCCATGATCGTCAACTAAATGTGTAGACTGTAATGCTTCAAAAACATCTAAAAGGTCTGACCTAAGAATTGCTTTTGTAAATATATTACAACTCCCTCAGATCTACTGTCCATACTGCTGTTTTAATCTTGTGCCTATTGGAATGAACTTTGATGTAAACCACTGAGTGAAAATACTGGTATATGGCATACCAATGTTGTGAAAGTAAACTTTTGACCTCTCAGTGTTTAAAATAATATTCTTTTTTACAAAGGAATTGTATTCTTAAAGATAGGCAGCCTCCTCTCTTGTATCCCTCCTAAGATAACTTTTGTCTCGTTTCCATAGGTTTTATTGGCTAGTTAACTTAAATTCAGCAGTTGTCTTTGTCAGCATTTCTTACATCCAGCAATCTGTGGCCAAGAGCCTGGGTTTTCTTCTTCCATTTGTATCTGCATTTATGGTCATGATCACAATTCATATGGTACACAGTGAAATGATTTACAAGCCCAAAAAAGGTAAGAAGTAAATATCTGTCTCTCAGAGATAATTTTAAATGTGTTATTTCAACAATATTTTAAATGTTTTGTCTGGAATTATTCAAGGCCTATCCTGCTAAAGGATTAACTCTGGTAAAGAGCTAAACATTGATCCAGTCCCTTGCAGAATCAGACCAAGAAATAATTATTAGAGGTTGCCTCCCAGCAGTTTCAATACAGCAAAAGCTGTGTTATCCGGCACTTTACCATCCAGAATGCTCTATTAACTGGCATCTGTCATAGATGGCATCTGTTGTTTACAGCAGTGGATTGACGCGGCAAAAGCAAAACCAGAAGTCCCACTGTGGCACTTCTGGTTTTGCTGCCACAAGCTGAGTCCCACTTGTTCCTCAAGGACCATGGCCCAGGGCAAAGCAGCCTGTGCAGGGCCCCACTCCCTGTCTCCCGGCACACTGACGCCAGACAAAGACGTCTCCAACCCGCTCAGCTAGAGATAAGCTCTCAGATAACCGGCATATTTGATTAACCGTCACCCCGCATTCCCCATGGATGCTGGATAACAGAGCTTTTACTGTACTTATTTTTATTTTAAAGCTATCATTCTTAGCATATAAGCTACTGCATGTAAAAAATAAACTGTTAGGAATCATAGGGTGCACCTACACATGCAAATGCTCTGGGATGGGTTTACTCTAGAGTAATTTACACATGCAGGGAAGTGGGAGCAGATTCTCACCCCTCTGGGCTCCTCCTGGGTGCTAGCTCGGGGGGCTGGCAGGAAGCATGGGTCCAGGAGACAGCTGTCTCTTGGCAGAGCTGCCTACTGCCAATTTGGGCTCTGCCACCAGAGCCCAGGCAAAGACAACGTCCCCCTGGCCTGGCAGCAGAGAGCTCCCAGCCCCTATTCCATGATTGTGACCTCAAAGCGGGGGCTGGGAGATTCTTATCTCCCAGCCTCAGTACTGTGATCACGATCGGGGAGCAGGGGTTTTGGTGGCAGAACCTGCCCCAGCAGCAGGCAGCTCCCGGGGGCAGAGAGCAATGTCCCTTCTTCTGCTGCCCAGCCATCTACACACATTGTACTGTGCAGTAATTACTCACAAGTAGCAAATTACTTATATTTACAGATAGCACATTTACTGAGGATTAAAAAATTACTGAATGTGTCTACACCTGACACTACATGTAAGGGGGAGACTACAACATTCAATACATAAAGCTACCAAAAAAGCCTTTAAGCCAAATGTCGCAGAGCACCTCAGTGCCTGCTCCTAGAGGGGAGAAACTGCCAGGGAGAGAGACAGAGCCCTGGCAGGTCATAACGAGCCCAGCTGAGTGTTGCCAGGGTAACGAGCCCAGCTGTGGGTTGCCGGGGCAACTAAGGAGAGCCAGCTGCCTGTAGGAGGCAGGGCCTGGCCCTTATAAAGCCCAGGGCTGAGACCAGGCTGGCAGTTCCCTGCCTGCAACTAGAGAGGCAGGAGCTCCCTTGGCTGAGATATAGCAAGAAGCCTGACTTGCAAGTACAGCTCACTATAGCCCTGAGAGGATTGGGCACTATGGTTTAGCCAGGAGGCTCTAGTTTATGTTCAGGCTTGCATATTAGACCGGAGGCTTGGGTGAGGCTGTAGGGGTTGGAGGAGGCCTCACAGGGACCCCAGAGGTGTGGGGCCTCTGAGCGCAACCAGTGGGTTGCGGGCAGGGAACAGACCCTGGGTTGTATGCGGGGTACATAGACCCCAGCCCCGGAGTGGGGCAGCATTGAGAAGCCCGAGGCGGGCACGGTGAGCCCCAAAGAGGGGGAGTGCCATATTGGTCTATTGAGAAGCCCAAGGCGGGCACGGCAAGCCCTAAAGAGGGGGAGTGCCATATTGCCCCAGAGGGGGCATGATGAGCCCCAGAAGAGGGCACTAGCTCAACCAGTGGGTTGTGGGCGGGGAACAGACCCCGGGTTGTGGGCGGGGTACATAGACCCCAGCCCCAGAGTGGGGCAGTATTGAGAAGCCCGAGGCGGGCAC